TTATTTCTTACTTTCTTACTTTCTTTTTATTTCTTCGAAAAAAAAAAAGAAAAAAGGAAACTATAAAATAATAAGTGGAGTTCTAGGAATAGACGGACACCACGTATACTCTAGGAAATTAGTCGTCCTAGTCGTCAAGGAGGTACACACGAAGGACTATCCTATCCCTTCCTTTTCTATACACCCTTAGAACGTTAGACCCAGATCGACTTTCTTTTTGCTTCGCTTAAGAGTACATCGAACGTTGGTTCAGGCTCCACCCTGATCCGCAAATATTGGCCATACCGTTACTGCGCCTCGTAAAAATCACTTGATTATAATCCCCCCATCCTTATCGCATCGAAAACGTGGAAGAAAGGGAGAGAGTGCGAGAGAGAGAGAGAGAGAGAGAGAGAGAGAGAGAGAGAGAAAGAAAGGGATAGAAAGGGAGAGAAGGGAATGTGAGTCGTCAATTTTTTTGTTTATAACAACTTTACGATTAAACATTATCCTTTTGTTATTTTTATTACTTCCTTACACATTCTACACACACACAGATACATACATATATATAATAATAATAAGTTATATTTATATTTTAAATTAGATTACAGTAAAATATTGTAATTGAAATTGTCAACATTTTTGGAGATTCTATTTTTCAATGCATACAAAAGATAATAAGTATAATAATAATATTTTATTATCTTAGCGTGATATAAAATAATTTCAATTCTAATATTAAAATTTTAGGGGGAAGGTTTTATATTTTCGTATCTCAACTTTTAGTATTTAATTAGTCGTCTATAAATAATTGATTTTGTTATACTAAACACAGTAGAGAACAACAGTGTGTCGTAGACGTTCGGTGATATATATCCGATCTGAAACGTCGAGTTTGATCGGTGCAAGGTGCCAATATGCCGATACACCCATCGACCCCGATTTTTCTCGACAAAATGAAAGTAATTTATTGTCCTTTTTACGAGCACTTTCTATATCTTCTATGGGATACCAAAAGGGGATAGGAAGAATAGAGAGCTTATTGCTGTGGTTTACCGTTAAAATTGGCACCAGTGTGTATTTCATACACATACACACACACACACACATTAATATATATAAAAAGATTGTCATTGTTTCGTCGTGTGATTTCGTACATTGATCGATTTGTTCTTATTTATTTCTATCGTAAGTTTCGTCATTCGAATTACACCACGATTAAAGAAAACAAAAACAAATAGTAGGAGTAGTAAGATACGGTTACACCAAAGGGGGATGAGAATAGGGAAGGGAAAAGGTATGGGAAAGAAAGGGAGAGAAGAAGGGCAGAGGAAAAGGGCAGGTGAGGGAGTCCTCACGAAATAGCGTAAAGAAGTAATTCAGTTAAGAAGAGATTAAGAGATAAAGCGTTTCTGCGTTTTATTTACCATAAAGCCCGTGCCGGATTAATCCTTGGCGCGATGAGAAAGATAAGTTTTATGTGTTTTCCGGATATAAGATCGGAAAGTTTGTCGATTGCGCCGAAGGAATTTTTTAATTATACCTCATTTAATCCTGCGATCGTCTCGAGAACATATTTTTTTTGTTCTTTTTTTTTTTTTTCTCCTTCTACTTCTAATACTACTACTACTACTATTACTACTTCTTTTTCTTCTTCTTCTTCTTTTTTTCTTCTTTAAATCTCATCTCAAAAGGTACATACAAAATAAAATCAGATGGAAATAAATTAACGATATGTCTTTTTTAATTGATGATAATAATTGATTGAATTTGTTTTTTTGTTTTCTTTGTTGTTCCAGGTTCTTCTACTTGTATCATTTCTCTTTCTATGCTTATCACTATCGTTTCAATGGACAGTACAGCAGTCTGGCATTGGTGACATCTTGTTTGTTTATACAGGTAAGATAATATTTTTGAGAAATATATATTTTATAGATTTTTTTCTATATGATATTTATTATCGATTGATCTTTCACTCTCTTGTATTAAAATAAAAATT